TCTGTCTTTATATTTCGTAAAACCACCAAAAATAATCCAAACTCCAAATGTGCACTGTTTGTTATTGAGGAATTCCTTTGTTTATCTTCTGAAGTACTTGGACGAGAAAGGTTTGAAGAGCTTTTCTAGGTCAGGGATGGGGTTTGGGTAAGCAACGGACAAGTGTTATGAAGTGTATTCAGTTTATGGCAATCGCTTATCATTGGCCACATTAAATTCCTTCTTTTGAGAAAATCGAACTCCAGCCTATTCTATTAATAATTTAAATAATAGGTCTTTACCTATGAAATTGCCGTTCTGCCGTACTGGCAAATTCAAGTCATTTTTCCCCCTTTTTCACTAAGAATTCTAATTTCAAATTATTTTTATTTTTAAAATGTGGAATGTTTTTTTTTGAAAATTTGTCATTTGTTTAATTGTTAGCGTTCTGTTTTCAGCGCAATTGTACGTTTTTCTGTCTGTTTCTTTATGTAAGCACAAAAAAAAACCTTGCGTAATATGAATAGTTGTGTGTCCTCGCAAAAACTTTTTTTTTATATATCGCTATTCATCGAATTGATTTGGTTTGTGACAAATAACTATAACTGTATTCGAAAAAAAATTCATCGTGACAATTGTATCGATTGCTAACATAATTACATATCCTTCTGGCCAAGGGTGCTTTCACCTTGTAAGGTCCAAGGTTGATAGCACTACAGTAATAACATATCTACAGAGTACAGAGGCGCACGAAATGAAGTTATATCAGTTAATTCGATTTATATCCTTTTCTTGACAACAAAACGATAATCATGTTGTGACCATCTTTGGAAGCCGAGAAAAGGTTTGTTAGGTATTTGTTTTTTATAAATAATAACTTTCATTATTGTACAATTGTATCAGTACGTGGGATCAGATTTGTCTTTCTTTTACGTAAACCCAAAATATAGTATGATGAAAACACGGGCATGATGGTCTACTCCAACTATGTTTCGGATAAAGTCTTGTTAAAATCAACAAATTTTATTGTGTATATATGATTTTGGAAAGTCTTGTACACAAACCCTGTAGAGAGAAAAAGTACAGAATTTTATCAGAATGTAATGAAATTATTCTAAGCTGTAGAGCCTGTGCTGTTTTAAGCGGAACACGGAGCGGGCGTCCGCTCAGCGTGCAGTATTTATGTACATTCACAGACCAGCGCGGCGCGGGCGACCCACCTCACGAAATGCTACTCTATGAAATAACATGAAACAAATACGCCGAGCAGACGCCCGCTCCGTGCTCCCGCTTAACGCAGAGTACGCTCTTAGACATTTGGTTTTAATCTATACTTCTATACTAATACTATACAGAGGTAAAATTAGTGAGTTAATGAATTCTGAGGTTGTAGGGTAAACTCAGGAACTTCTGGACCGATTTGAAAAATTCGTTTACCAGTATAAAGACGAAAGTCACAAATAAACGTTATTTGTGAGTTTAATAGGCTACATATTTACCCAAAGAATTGGAATACTTTTCCATGGTAGTCCGATTACAAAGTAAGTCGGAAAGAAAACGTTTCTTACGAGAGCTGCCTTAACAATGAGAGATATTATAATCGAGTTCTAGAGAAAAGTTGTAGAACCTGATAAAACTACAAAAAAGTCAGCGACAGCACATTTCTATTTTTTATATTTGAGTGCAAAAAGTAGTCTATTAAGTATATAAAAAAAGATATCAACAATTATTATTCTTATATTAATAAGTAAATTTATCATCTCAAGTGTTAGAAAAAAAAACTCTTTTCCCTTTTATTGCATGTAATTTGGACGAATGGGTTTGAGATAACACGACATAGTTTTGGAATCGCGGCCGTGTCGTAATCTATGAGTAATATTTCTAATAGACGGCTTTTTCAAGTACAAAACGTCAATCTATTTAGAAATAAATGGATTAATAACTTTTGTGTAGATAAAATTCTTTTTTACAGTATGTTTTTCGGTCTACACTATCACTGTCGATATACAGAATCGAATATATCGTTTGAGTGACGCGTACAAAACAACAAAACATTGCGCAACTATTTCCAAGCTATAATAATAAATATCCAGACATTTGTAGATAGTCTTGTTTTTTCAAGAACTATCACACTAAAGGGGACTTACATAAACTTTATAATAAATCACTGTTAGCGACAGACACTCCAGTGTCTATCATGTATTTTTGAATTTTATTTTCATTTCTTATGCTTGTCAATTTTGTTTATTATTATTATTGTTTTACGTGCTGTGTACTTGTTATTATATAATTTATAATCTTTATATATATAATTCTTCTATGAGTGTCTATGTCACTGAACTTCTCTTAAACGACTGGACCGATTTTGATGAATTTTTTTGTGTGTGTTCAAGGGGATCTGAGAATGGTTTAGATTCACAATTTTGTCCGCTGGACAATGCTTTTTTAATTAATCTTTAATTTATTAGTAGTTGTTGATTTTGGAATGTTTTACATTGGATCCGATAGACGGCGCTACCATACTAGACAGGACAACGTCTGTCGGGTCCGCTAGTGATAATATATATGTATATGTATAATTATTAATAAATATTGATATATACATATTGATTTCAAAGTTAAGGTATTTACTTTATATTACGCTTAGTGCCGTCCCTAACAATCACTTTTTAAACAAGGATAATATTCGTAATGCAACAGTAAAGCTTTTCTTTTCGAAAATGATTCGCATATATATTCGTATTATATTCTGTGACCAACAATTTGAGCAACTTTTAAAGAACTGATTAATTGATAAACACCATCTCAAAGTCAATTTGAAATGACAATTGAAGCGTTTAATTTCATGTGATACATTTACACATCTATACATTCATTATTGCTAGTTATTTGAACAGCTAATTACTTACAATAACATTTTAATAATATATCAACAGTTAAATTATATTTACAGAGATGGCGCGGTGTTATAACTAACATTTTTAAATATAATCGTAAATTATACTTTAACATTTTTCTCTATGTCTCTAAAATAATTAAAGAGATCTATAATAACAATAATGTTATTAAAGAGATCTACTTACAGAAAAGGAAGTTATTAAATCAAATGCCACTTCGTCAAGATTATGATCTGCTCATCCACAACGTTTAAATAAAAAAGTTCGAACTTTCCAGTTTAGAATGCCGTGGTTTTTCGTTCGAGAAGGTACTAAGAAAAATATCAAAACTCCAAGAAAGTATTCGGATTCCGATGGCCCTTGCTTTGGAGCCAACTCCATTAACTTTGTCAACTTTCGCTTCTAAATTGACCCGTGTCATTTTTTAAGCCATACATACTTGAATAGTGAAAATAATAATTTTCAGATCCTTAAATTTATTATATATCTGCGCTATGTAACGAAATGTATCGCGTTACACAATTAACCATAAGTACTTAGCGTATTTCTTATATATTGATATAATAATACTATATTAGTTCACATATAGATCATTTACTATACATACGTGTAGAATATAACATTATTTACCCTATAAAGAAACCGAAAGGATTTAATAATGTCAAAGTTGCTTTTCGTCAAAGGACTTAATAAACTAAACGAAAGTAATTTCAAAAGTTGTTTCGGAATTGTTTGAATATTGCAGAGTATGAAACATCATCTTATGTATTAACTCCAGTTAAATTTATCGTAATTTAAATGGAGTTAAATTTATAACAAAACTTGACTTCACACGGATGACCACCAAAACATGATATAATTAAAGGCTTTAATAGTGCCTTAGTGGTAGTGATATAAACTTCTTGTAAATTTGCAAATTAATTGAGAACATTACCAAAGTTACTAAAATGTTTCCGGGTAATTTTCCATCATTATTCGATTATCGTGAGGTTAATGGAATTCGAACTCTACAAAGTAACGGATAAAACCAAGAGGTTTATGACGCTATAAGTTTCTATTTAAAAGTAACATTCCAATGCATAATGTTAACAATTAAAGAAGTTTATTATCATGATTTGTCTTTAAAATACAGATAAATCGAACCTAACACAACCGCCACCTAATCTTATCGACTGACATCAAATATCACTTACCCACAATTCCAAAAGCATATTAACACTATAATTTGGATATCATATTTTAACTATAACCTATACGATGACCCCTTCGATTCACATACTTTTTAATTCCTAATTTATATTTAAAATAACTGTTTTTTGGCATAAAAATACTTTGTCGTAATTTCTGACTTACACATTTTAGATTAAAAATACGCATAAAGCGGTGATAAATTTCTTTATTCATATTTTTATGATTTTTAAAAAGGGTGTAGTTTCGCCTGTCACGATCGAATTGATCGCGTTTAAAGGTTGACCGTAAAACCTGTCCAACATGGTATGAAAAGTGTTATGATATATTAAGCATTTTTGTAGGAGAAAAACCATAGATACTGTATTTGTATTAATAAGAACCCTCTAGGTGTCTTTTCCTCTCTTTCTTTGTCAGTGTACGGGTGGGTTGGTGAGTGTTTGTGTATGTGACTGTAAGTTTATGTGTGTGTATGCATTTATTGCATGTGTGTCATAAGGATCAATAACAATTATGTCTAAACTAAGGAAGCGCTTGCGCCATCCCCTCCCTAGAGGTGATCGCGTCGGATATCGCCTTGAGGTCGTTGTAGATATATCAAGAATCGGAACGGAATCGTCATCGTATCAACTCGTGCAGTTCGGTATTCTTTGGATGAACCTCCCTATTGCAACGCTCACTCATCGCGCTATCCAAATATTTACGTAATCACCTCGGTTTCCTGGTTGATATGTCTGCTACGACCAATAAAGAGGCTTCGTCAGGTGGTTTATATTCAGTAAGAGTCTAACATAAGCCTGCAGCCGGCTGTGGGGTATGGACTGAGCATTTTCCATGCCCTCCCCAGCTTTCCGGAGGATGCCCATTCCCATTAACGTCGTAAAAAAAAGATTAAGATTATGTCCTTAAAACCTTATGTGAATCAACGGGGTATCACTACACGAACTGAGCGGTGCCGGTGTCCTTCCAGCAGGTGAAGCAGCATGGCAGGGCGCACATCAGGGTGTTCTTGAACGCGTCCCTAAAGTCCCGGTTGAAGTACGCGTAGATCAATGGGTTGAGCGCCGAGTTGAAGTATCCTATCCAGAACAAGACGCCGACGACAACTGAAGGGGTCTCGCACGGCTCACCGCATACGTTCGTTGTGACGTACCTGTGCAAAAAGAAATGTAATTATCACTCTATTGATGTCCTCATTGCTGGTGCACAAGTCTTCACTATGAATAGAATAGGGAGATCGGAATCAGTGCGGAGAGTTTCGTGCAGAGTTTTTATTTAACGAGCCTCAGCAAATTACTCTCCTCCACCTGATAAAGTAAGTGGAATTCAGTCGCAAAGATAGATGATGCAGCAGAAGGTATGTCGCTTCGTCCATCTTTACCTTGCCGGTCTGAACCCAACCTCCTACTCCGTGGTACCCTGGAACTCTACTCACCAGCAGAAACACAACACAACCAAATGGTAGCGTAATTTTTCTGTGGTCTTCTGTAAGGTGGACCTCCCTTACAGAGGACCACAGTGCTTCCTCAGACGGGCGATCCAATTGGAGCTGAAAATCCGCTATTCCCTACCTCTCTTAAAAAGTGTCGCACGGCAGCTATAATGCTGATAGTAATGATGACTTGAAATTCTTAGGGTTGTGCACTTGTTTATGTACGTGCTCCTGGTAAATAGTAGTCATATGACATAAACGATTGGAAATGACTCTAACAAGATGCTTTATATAATGCATTAGATACAAGGTCTCCCGCCGTAGATTTGCGAACCGATGGCGCAGCTTTTCAACCTTCACAAGTGCTTATACTAGCACAGCCTAGACTGAATAAAGGTTTTTTTGGTTTTTAACTTCACCCATTGCTTTATGCCTTTAACACTCTGAGAACTATTCAATGGATTAGGGATCTTGCATGACGCTATTGATCGATACGTCTTATTGGGGACCTAAGGTTGCCTAGTGTGAAATATACCGTACGCACTGTTTAATAAATACTCTTATTCTTTGGCAGAACAAAAAAGTTAGGTAGGTACTTGGCCGGCATTGTCATACGATATTGGTTATGACGAGACGTCAGAATGTACTCAGTCCATTTACTACACCGTCGGGTCTATTGTCAACACGCTTTCTACACCTATTATCTTCACAATGGGCTACACGTATTCCGAATGTAAGGTTCGATAATGGACATTTCATGCGAAACCGAAATTGAACGCTGATGGGTCTAAGACTGCCAAAGTACTTGTTTAAGACGATCTGATCTTACTTGTAATAGGTATTAGGCTGATAATGATTTAAACAGAATTCATGTATAAATATATTTATTGGTACACTTAACAACTGAATGAGGAAATGACAATAAACACATGCGCTGTTTGGTACCAATTTAGTGACAGTCCTTTCATTTACGTAATGGTACGAGTATTTTGTATAAACATCACAAGAACATAACAATTGATACTAAAGCTAAAAGCAGAAACAGACTTATCAAACGCATCGCGTTGCGTGGGTTTCATAAGTCTATTTCTACCTTGAGTGCTCAATAGAAGTAATACTTATTATTTCCTAATTTATAGTAATTGCAATTTGATGCGTTTTCCCTGCGATATAAATTAACAAACACACAATCGAGCAATTGCGGCTGAGTGCTTTTAGTAGAGAGCCTTCACTGATTGGAGTCCTGCTGCGAAGATAGCTTGCGCCCTGGATACTTACTGTTATCTACCAAAATAACAATTCAGTTTTCAAGCAGATCTGAGACTACGAGGTCCAAACCTATAGATAGAACAGAAAGTAATGAAAAGAATCTCATATATGTACTTCTCTTTTCATACCTACACTTGGCAGTCGCGCTAGGATTGCCGACTTTGGCTTGTGCACAAAAAATATCGTGGTAATCATTTATAATTTACAACAACAGACAACGCGGGAGTGATAGGTAAATAAGCTTTGGTGGCGGTTATTATTAATCCACGCATGTAGAGTTAGCTATAATCTATCAAACATTGCTTTTTCTTAATGATTGAGATAAATGTAATTCCTCAACACCTGTGATAACAGTAAAATTATTATTTATTCTCAAAGGGTAGCTGAGAAGTTGGTAAGCTCGGACGTTGGGCGCCGTCTTGACGTTTACCCCCACTTGAGAATATTTAACACGACTCTATCCTCGCTCATTTTCCCCGCCCCCCACGACAACGGCTAACTAGAGCCGAGGTCCGAGTCCCAGAGACGCCCTCTAGTTGAGCCGACCCCCTCAGGGTCGAGTTGTCTAGAGGCTCCAGGTGGAGAGGAGACTCCCCCCGTGGGGAATGCCATCCGCCTGGAATACCTCTAGAGGCACTCGCCAATTCTCGACTTGAGGTCCTCTTAGGATCTCGCCGTCCCCAAACCCGGTGACGCTGTAAATGTCATCTGCGACCAACAGTATACATATAAAAAAAGAGCATATTAAATAAAAGTCAGTTTCTTAGTTCTTTTTTCGGTCATCACGTAGTACAGTGCGAAGCGCTCTCCCAGTGAAGTGATAATATTTAGCAAAGGTGTATGAAGTACAATAAGGATCATGTTAATGTAAAAACTATTCTATATTATAATGATTGGTTGAGTTCACCATCTCGACATTTTGTCGGTTTTAATAATTACCCCGTCCTGTAACCCACAAGAAAAGAGGTATCTATGTCCCCAATATGTCTTCTATTATCTATTATTATGTAGTTTAGTTTGATGTTTTATATATATAATAAACCGTAACATATATGTATATGATTAATTATGAGAAGCACCTAACTAGTGTGCATCTATAGTATATTGTGTGCGAGTTGCTACTCTTTTCCTTCCTCGCCCTCTTTCTCTTATCCGTTGTGTTGTTGATGGCTGTAGTGTGTCCGGTGTATGAGATGATGTTTAACCTATTCTATATACAGGGTGGCCGGGGGAGTTGACGTTCAAGCGTAAAATTTAGATACCTTATGATGAGGAGTATCCAAATCACCCCCATGTATGTTCTACGATTTTGCGTAGTTTTCGAGTTATAATATCAACTCTCACCATCAATTTTCACCTAACATCAGTTTTCGATTTTTTTCTTATTCTGTTGGACGTTCCTGGTTCAGTTTTTTTGTGATAATTGACTAACATAGTCTAACCTAGCACCCTAAAACTTATGGTTTATTTAGGCATTGCAGAATTCACTTAGAATTTGTTCGAAAGTTTAAAATTACGATTTGAGCTCAGTACACACAAATTTTCAAAGTATCAAAAAAAATGTGAATGGGGGGATTTGGAGTTGAAAAAGCTTTTAAAAACTTTCTGAGTCATTAAACTTTAAAACAAGGCCAAATAAAGGTAGGGTGAAGGGGGTATATTTTCTGTAACTAGAAACTTCCAAAGAAAAAAAAAAATATTTTATTTTATTTAAATCTTTGACTTTCTATGAGCTATGATGGATTTGGGTAAAACGCAGTTAATTGTTAACAAAATACATTTATTTAATTCAAATATTCAAAATTTCGCCCTCCCACAGAAATACACAATCTACATCTGCGCAAAAAATTATGTTTTAGGTGCCTAAAAGCTTCACGGTTATTTCTCACAGTGGTTTCAGCTTCGCGAATTTTTGCTCTCAGTTCTTCTTCACTCGAAACTTCTCTGGCGTACGCAATTTCTTTAAAGTAGCCCCAGATAGAAAATCAATAGGGTTGAGGTTTACTACTACTCGTCTTGTTCTGCCGTTTTTTCTCGACCACTATTTGCCTACTGATGCCGCCGCTGCTTACTTGTTTGACCCCTGCTTGTTACTGGATTCCGTTGTGCCTAACGATTGTAGTTACTTGGAAATGTTAGTGATGCCCTACACTCTGAGTGAATATGCAGAAACGCATTATTTCTACGGCGTTGCATAAGGGAACGGTCGTGAAGTAGCAAGACTCTACAGGGATCAACTTCAATGCCAATAATTTTCAATATCCACAATTTTCACATTTGGGCCGTTGAAAATCCACATGCCACCAGACCATCATCATTTCAACATCGTTTTAGCGTGAACATGTGGTCTGGTGTTTTGAATGGCGAATTAATAGGCCCATTTGAACTGCCATCGAGATTAGACGGCGACACATAAAAAAGTTTCTTAGAAGACAATCTACCCATATTACTGGAAGATTTAAATCTTGAATTAAGAAGAACGATGGTGTTCCAGAACAACGGAGTACCATGTCCTTACGCGATACAAGTGCGTCGTCATTTAGACCAGACCTACCCTAACAGGTGGATCGGACGACGAGGGCCAATTGCCTGGCCACCACGCTCGCCTGACCTCAACCCTATTGATTTTTTTTATCTGGGGCTACTTTAAAGAAATTGCGTACGCCAGAGAAGTTTCGAGTGAAGAAGAATTGAGAGCAAAAAATCGCGAAGCTGAAACCACTGTGAAAAATAACCGTGAAGTTTTAGGTACCTAAAACATAATTTTTTGCGCAGATGTAGATTGTGTATTTCTGTGGGAGGGCGAAAATTTGAAAATTAGCATTAAATAAATGTATTTTGTTAACAATTAACTGCGTTTTACTCAAATTCATCATAATTCATAGTAAGTCAAAGATTTAAATAAAAAAAATAATTATTTTTTTTCCTTTGAAAATGCCTTAATTTACTTTGAAGGTCAGTTACAGAAAATAAACCCCCTTAACCCTATCCTTATTTGGCCTTGTTTTAAAGTTTAATGTCTCAGGAAGTTTTTAAAAGCACTTTCAATTCCAAATCCCGCCATTTACATTTTTTTTGATACTTTGAAAATTTGTGTGTACTGAGCTCAAATCGTAATTTTAAACTTTCGAACAAATTCTAAGTGAATTCTGCAATGCCTAAATAAACCATAAGTTTTAGGGTGCTAGGTTAGACTATGTTAGTCAATTATCACAAAAAAACTGAACCAGGAACGTCCAACAGAATAAGAAAAAAATCGAAAACTGATGTTAGGTGAAAATTGATGGTGAGAGTTGATATTATAACTCGAAAACTACGCAAAATCGTAGAACATACATGGGGGTGATTTGGATACTCCTCATCATAAGGTATCTAAATTTTACGCTTGAACGTCAACTCCCCGGCCACCCTGTATGTTGAAACGCTATGCTGTATGGTATTTTAAGATTAATTATCACGGTATACGGCTGCAAAACATTATTCGTTCATGAGAAAAACTATTAAATATTATATAAATATATATCTCTGACATTGTCGTTTTATTGGTTGTTTACTGTGGTTTCACACTTTTATGTTGATAAACATCAAATATATTGTTTTGAAAGGTCACTAACATTATAGCTATTAATGGGATTGTTATCATTTACCTTGTTTTTTATGAGTGTCCGATATATAAAACACAGGAATTCCAATCGTAAGGATGGGTTTAAATTGTCAAGTGTCTGGAATCGAGAAGTTCGTATATGCAGAAACCTCAAAAAAAATGTCGTTCCGCGATCTGATACTGTGTGTACCGCGGTTTCGGGAACAGGTGCGAGTGAATAGTGAGAATGTGACCAGTGGTATGGGTATCGAGCGCAGTAAAAGACAACGTCAGAGGGTAGACCGATATGTCTGCCAATAACATCTACCTGCTATTACTTCAGTTACTCCGTGATCATGGAGTTTGCAACAATGCCAAAATATCGGAGACTCATAAAAAACAAGGTACATAGTCACAATTCCGTTAATAGCTACAATAAATATCAAATAGTCTCACCATAGGAAAAATGGAAGCCAGCACAGCAGGAATGCTCCAACAATGATGCCCAATGTTCTGGCAGCTTTGTGCTCCGCTCTCCAAGACTTGCCTGCTGCTCGTAATGATGCGCCTGTGGAAGATATGAAACACCAACTTTGAAATACATTCAGGTAAGTATTACTTTGGGAGAAGTTCGATGTTGCAGGTGGTTAGCTCGTTAGATGCGACCGGGAAAGTTAAGCACTTTTGCGATGGTCGGTCGTCGGATGGGTGACCAAAAACTTATTATCTCGAACTCCTTCGTGCTTCAGAAGGCAAGTTAAGCCGTTGGTCCCGGTTGCTTTTGCAGTTGTTAGCACCTATCGATGCGCACCGGGCCTGTGTTGTGGATCACAGCCCAATCTTCCTTTCCCATCCATAGGGAAGGTGTCCCAGCAGTGGGGACATTAGAAGGCTGATGAAGAAGTATCATTTCTATTATATTTTATTTTAAGCATTTAACTGCTAGATGTTTTAAATGTAAAGTTTTTTTTAGTAAATTTTCCTTTTGCTTTAAAGTAATAATTTTAGTCTTTTCTTCATTAGTAAAGAGCGCGGGCAGTTACATACGAGTAATTTGTGACATTAAAAGTTCTGTTTTTTAATTTACACTGTCCACTTTGAATTAAGTCTTTCGAGGATACCAGCATTTCTGAAATCGTGTGCTTATCTGCTCAAGATTATCACCATCCACCTCAAATATTCTCGATATGTTAAAAAAAAAATACTCTATTTTGTTTCTTTCCTAAATAGCTGAACCATAAATAAAATATATAGCTGAAATAGTTCAATTTATAAAGGAAAAGCTTTTATTGACTATTGTACATTTATTTAAAATTACTAAGTACATAATTTATCCTGCATGAACAAACAGATTTTGTTAAGTTTTGGCATGGCAAACGGAAGCTTGACGGACTCTTGTTAACGAGACGATTTCTACCCGGGTCTAAGCACGATTTTTAGCCGTGTCCGCATACGGTCGTCAGTTAGGTATAGGATACTATGGAGGTTTGTATAGCCGGGTACTCGTTTGCGAGCTGTAACCGTAACCTTTGCATGCACTGTAACCAAAAAGCATAGTGTGCACGTGCTGCGAGAGAGAGGTACGCGTGCAGCTTGCAGCGAGCCGACGTGTACAACTGAGTTACAAGCGTACACACTAGAACCTCGTACTCTCACTCATGCGTGATAACGCATGTTATGGGTTACAGCTCGCTAATGAGTACTTGGGCTTTAAAGAGAACGGCGCTAGCGACGGTTTGGGGTCGGTACAAACGTACAAACCTTGCTCGTAAACAAGCGCCCTAAGGCTACTTTAAAAACTTGTCGGTGGTGAACGAGGAATAAGGGTATGAAAGTTTGATTGGAAAATCAATTATTTCACGCGGATGTTGTTTAATTTTATTGACAGCTTTTAATCTGAGTTACCTTCAAAATAGGTGGGCTGTTGAGACTGCTAATTTAATACGCAACAGAAGAGCAGCACGAAGTTTTTTGAACATTTCACTGACTTTTTAATATTTTTAGCACATTATTTTGTTAATAATAACAAATTTTATTTATAAATGAATAGAGTAGAAAAATCTTTGAGTAAATATTACATTTCATAACGATATTAACCTTTACTTCTATACTATAATATCATAAAGAGGAATGGTTTGTATGTAAGTATGTTTGTAACGAATTGGCTCAAAAAGTCCTGGAACGATTTTAAAAATTCTTTCACCATTTGAGTGCTACATTATCAATGATTAATATAGGCTATAGTGCATTTTCAAAAAAGTTAGGGTTCCGTATGAAAACTTCGATAATATGACCCAATGTAAAAAATACCAAAAAATAACCTCAAATCGCGTACGCTGCGAAAGTCATTGACTATAGTGCAAAGTGATGTACTAAAGTTTTACTACAAAAAAGTCCACGATACCATATGTCTAACTATTAGAGTTTTGTCACAACTAGAAGTCCGCTGCGGTTTCACCCGCGTTAATTTGAAGAAAATAGAGAGAAATTAAAGAAAGAATATTTTTCTTAGTAATAGTGAGTCAAACTTAAAATATGGACAAAGGCTGTTGCAGACTTTTTTACAGAACTTTTGATGGAGAAGAATTCCGTCATACATGATTTTAGTGTGTAATTTTAACCGTCTAGCCAGCGCACGCAACGGTACCTCACAAATGGAATATTTTTACCCGTTTTTGCAACATTTTTCATCGATGCTCCGCTGCTACTAGTCGTAGCTTGGTAATATATGGCCTCTAGCCTCCCTCGATAAATGCACTGTCCAATTCAAAAATATTTTTTCGAATCGGAACAGATGAGCATTGTTGCATTCGGTACAACGGGTCCTAAACTAAGCAACGAAGTTTTTACTTGGAATTGAAGGTTTATCATTATTATGAAGAAAGTCATTGTGTATAATACAAGCCTTGAACAAAAACTATCGTCTACACTACAGCTCTACACCGAAGCAAAGTTAGGGCTGGCCACTAGTAATGAATAATAACTGATAAAACTTGCAGGTGCACTTTCCGTAAATGTTACGATGCATGTTGCTAAGACTTCTTTGATGTGTGTAGTTGATTCAAAAGTCGAACCACACATAGCATATGAAGCGCACCAACATTTCGTATCTTTATTTTTTTTTTATGTGAAAAGGGCAACAAGCTGCCCGCTTGACCAGAGTCTATAGTGCACCATAGCCTATAGTATAGAATAGACTGCGATACCAAAAGTAAATACCCTAGATACACCACGTGCGCTCAAAATGTGTCCCAATCAAGAAGTGCTTGAACACCACTCAAGCACTTCTTGGTTCACAGTCACGCGCGGACCGTTGAAAAGTCAACATGCCGTAGAAGTATGTAAAATGTCGCTTTTTCGACAGGTATCTAATCAATGTTTAATAATTTAACGCATTTGAAGCAAATTTTGTTTTAATACTAACTATAAGGGGTGTAAGGGGTTCTAAATACACCTGCAAGAACCCAAGCCAACCTCACCTTCACGTGGTGCACCCTGTTGACCAACAGACGAGGCTCTGGCAAACCGACCGATGGCGGTATAACCATCCAATGAGGTAGGGGAGGAAAATGTCACTGGTGACGGGCAGCAGCGTCATCAGTAAATAAACCTACGCTCTGCGATCGCCAACCCGCCTGCCCAGCGTGGCGATTATGGGCAAAACCTTCATGCACAAGAAACTCAAGCCACGGCCCCCAGTTCCCGGCAGCCCCGCTATTCCTGGTCACGGTGGCGACCACGGTAACGGTGGGGCGGGGGGTGCCAAGAATCTCCGGGCTACGGGAGGCCACCACAAAAGACTGACCCTGGCGACGTACAACGGACGCACGCTACGGCTTGACTCGCATCTGGCGCAACTCGAGGTGGAACTTGGAAAGATTAGGTGGCACATTTTAGGGTTAAGTGAAGTCCGAAGAGAGGGGGAGGACACCATAACCCTCGAATCGGGCCACCTAATGTACTTCCGCGGGGGAGACCAACAGTCCCAAGGTGGCGTTGGGTTTTTGGTAAATAAGTCCCTTGCCGATAACGTTGTGGAAATGTCCAGCGTGTCGAACAGGGTAGTGTACCTTATTATAAAGCTCACCGAGAGGTATAGCCTCAAGGTGGTGCAAGTGTACGCACCGACCTCGACACACTCGGACGACGAAGTGGAGGATATGTTCGATGATATATCGAGGGCCCTCCACTCCACTACTAAGACCCACTACAACGTTGTTATGGGGGACTTCAACGCTAAAGTGGGAGTACAGAATTGCAGCGAATCGGTAGTAGGATCCCATGGATTTGGAAGCAGAAATCATAGGGGGCAAATGCTCGTCAACTTCCTCGAACAGCAGGGGCTCTTCATGATGAACTCTTTTTTCAAGAAACAGCCCCAAAGGAAGTGGACATGGCAGAGCCCCGACACTATGACTAAAAATGAGATCGATTTCATCATGACGGACAAGAGGTACATATTCAGAGACGTCTCCGTGATCAACAGGTTCAATACCGGTAGTGATCACCGACTCGTCCGGGGCTCTCTGAATATCAACTTTAAGGCCGAGCGCGTCCGTTTAATGAAATCCAGGCTCCAACCTACTTTGCTCCAATCTATAACAGGATCTGAAACGTTTCAGTCAAATCTGGAGAACCGATTTGCTGCCGTGGAAACCACATCAGACGTAAACCAAAACCTCGAAAATGTGGTTCGGATTCTCAGGGAAGAGGGTACGAAACTATGTGCAACGCAGCGTAAGGGCAGGAAGTCAAAGCTTTCGGAAGAGACTTTAGGGCTAATGAAGGAACGACGTGAAAACCCACCCGTCACTTCGTCGGCAAAGCGGATTCTAAACCAAGAGATCAGTAAGCACGTACGACATGACCTCCGATGCTCCAATACTCTCTCGATCGAGAGAGCGATCGAGCAGAATCGAGGGTCCAAAGTGTTCGTACAATCTCTTGGAAGAAGCCATCTGACGAAGTTGACCACAGCAAGTGGGGAAGTTGTTGCTTCAAAGCCGGCAGTCCTTTCGGAAGTGGAAGACTTCTACAGCCAGTTATACGCATCACATGCATCTCGACCTGATCCCGGAAATGAGGATTCTAGAGCCACATTAACACGCCACTTCACCGAAGACCTGCCAGAAGTCAGTATTGGCGAAATCGAGATTGCTCTTGGACAGCTTAAAAATGGAAAAGCCCCTGGAGAGGATGGTGTTACAACAGAACTCTTGAAGGCTGGAGGTAAACCCGTACTGAGGGAGCTCCAAAAGCTTTTTAACACTGTTCTGTTCGAAGGGAGAACTCCGGAGGCGTGGAGCAGGAGTGTGGTCGTCTTGTTCTTTAAAAAGGGGGACAAGACCCTACTTAAGAACTATCGACCCATATCCCTTCTAAGCCACGTCTATAAGTTGTTCTCAAGAGTGAACGCGAACCGTCTTGCGCGAAGATTTGATGACTTCCAACCACCGGAACAGGCTGGGTTTCGGAGCGGATACGGCACCATAGACCACATCCACACAGTGCGGCAGATTATACAGAAGACTGAGGAGTACAATCAGCCCCTGTGCCTAGCATTTGTGG